CACAGAAACACAAAATAGCTTGAAAATTTATTTTACAATGATACGAAAGCAGTAATAGAGACTAACCTTAATCGCGCTTTCTGATTAATAATTAATTGAAACGTATGCAGTTAATCTGCCTCCATCAATTCTTGCTCAAATAAATACACAGAGAAAGCTACGTAAATAACTCGTACCTCAGCGTTCTCAATGTTGAAATTAGCATCTGAAAAAGCAGAAATCGAAGAGAAATCAATGGACTCTTCAGAAATATCAGGTAAAACATCTTCTATTGGTGAAATGAACGATTCGGTCAAACTCTTTCTATCAATCTGCAACAACTAAATAAATGAATAAATGAGCTCGCAAATGGAGTGGAAAATGAGAAATTATTGGTTACCGGAAACACTGACCTTCTTTGGGGTTCTCTTCGCCAGAGAATCATTTTGCCGGCGATATGCGAGATCTGAAGATCGTGGGTTTTCTTTTCGCGGAGTTCGATTTTCCTTTTCTTTCATTTTTTTTTTCAAATCTCGCTCTATTTCAATCTCCCTTTTGGCGGGAGGTTTTCAATTTCAAAATTTACCAGGAGGAATAAACATATTTATAGTTGACTAAATGGTTATTAACAATAATAATTGCGTAGATTTAGGCTCCTAATTGAGCTTAAAAGTAAAGGCTTACTTTCATGAAATGGGCCAGGCCGAAAAAGTCCTAGCACATAAACACTAACAGCTAAGGATGGTAATAGGACTCGTATCCGAACTCAATGAATTTTAATTCAATATGATTTTATAAGGTGTCCTTTTTTTTTAAAAAAAATGAGATAGGATTGAGCTTCTTTTTAAGGATTAGGTCATACTAGTTCTAGTTTAGGATCAAAAATCTTTGACTCGACACGAGATAATAGTATAATTAATAAATCTTCTTGGTATAAAATCAGATTTTTATACTTATTTTTGAAATTAACCCTCAAGTTTCAAAACTGACCCTTTAATTTTAAAATTGGGATTCTAATATGACTTTTTTCGAGTCATTTTAAGTTCAATCGACCCAAAATTCAATTTTGGACCTAGTTCTCATCTCCCGACACTCCTAAAATGACATTTTAGAATTAAATTACAATATAAAATGCCAAAATACCTTCATATGTGTTAAATTACAAAAATATCTTAATGTGTGTGGAGTTATCTATTCTTATGTAGATCAAATTACCAAAATGCTCATATGAGCCAAATTTTTTGAAAATACATCTTATACATGTTAATTGATTTTAGAAGTCCAAAGGCTTAAAGAAATGATTAAAGTACTAATAAAACTTGAACCCTGATTACTTGAAAATTATTAATTTGCCCTTGAGTGAAATTAATGATACGATTAAGTAATTTATTAAGAGTATGTTTGGATATGATCAAATAATTGTAGAAAGATATAGTAATTAGAATATTAATTATATTTATTGTAATTATGAAAAGCTATACTTTTATATATGATTTTTAATAGAAATAATTAGTTTTATTAAAAGTAAAAATATCTAAATTATAATAACTAAACTAAATATATACTAAAGATGTTTTCTTATAATCATCAATAAAAGAAATTAGCCACTTAAGATCACACAAGAATCTTATAAGAAAGTATTAAAAAAACTTAATCAAACAAACAGGATCAAAATATATATACAAACAGATTTGACTGCATCATTAAACAAATCATAAAAGGGAATCAAGTTATTGAAAGACCACCTACAAATCGTAAATTAGAGTCGAACGACTTGAGAAGACTATTCACGAATACAAATCACATATTCAATCAAATCCGAGGGTCCAAAGCAGGGAAGATCGACATGATAACGAATAAGTGTAATCTTGATCAGTCATGACGATGTCAAATCCAACCTTAAGAAAAAAGATAAACGAAAACAATGATCTAAGTGATCTCAATGAGATCATTGAACTAAGCGATCTCAGTGATTAAGGGACTTGGATTTACCTTTTGAGATTTTGGGTTCGAGCATCACATATAAATGAGAATAAACGTTTATTGTTAAAGGGTTGAGAGTCTTTGGATAGATACTATCTTGTATTCATGTCAGATTTATAAAAAAATTATATTTAAACACTTATAATAAGTAATACTCAATTACAACTTGCATCTACAAATGGAAAATCATAAAAAAGGTTAATTATTACAATTAATCATAATCACAAAGTTTTGTGCAGATAGCCCTGAACCAATGATTCTGCAACATTGTGATATCCCCACCTTACCTTGTATCCTCTTAGGGTGCGTTTGGTTCACGGAATGTAAGATTACCAGTGGGAATAAAAGATTACCAAGGAATAGGATTACTGGGAATGTTGTATTTTGTGTTTGGTTGGTTTAGCAGGAATGTAAGATTACCGTGTTTGGTTAAAGGAATAAAAGATTATTGGAATGTATATTTGACCAAATTGTCCTTTATTATATATTTGTATAATATTACAAATTGTAAAATATTTATATATTTTCTTTAAAAAATTAAATTCATAATATTTATATAATATTTTTACAAAATTAAAAATATAAAAAAGGTTTAATGAAAATGTAAAAAAAATTTAACCCCTAAACTTCATATAAAATTTTAATTATAGATTTTTTTTGTAAATCTAAAATAATTTAAGGATAAATTTGTAATTTAACCTTCGTAGAATTTTTATTATTCAATGACCGAAAAAGGATATTTTTGAAAAAAATAAAAATTTAAGGGTATTTTAGTCCAAAATGCCGGTAATGTTACAATACCTAAGGGAAGGGAGATAATGACATTCCCGGTAATATACCCCAAAAAATCTACTATTGGTAATAAAACATTACCGGGAATGAGATTTCCGGCCAACCAAACATGGGAATGTGGGATTCTCATCCCATGGGAATCCCACATTCCTTGAACCAAACTCCCCCTTAGTGCTAAAAAAATCAATCACAATGAGCCCTAAACAGAACCCCAGCTATAGCTATAAAACCCTAGCCCTAGGGTTATAGCTATAAAACCCTAGCCCTAGGGTTCTTTCTTCTCCACACTCAATATTTTTCTCATACATGAATATGGTATGTATATATACATATATCTAATATACTTAGCTAATTTCAGTTTCTCACTTCTTCTCTTCTGTTTTTATTTTCTCATTAACCCTAGATTTTGAAACTAATTGTTTGTTTTCAGGTGTTAAAACAAAAGCAGTTTTTTTTTATTATCATGAAGAACTCAGTGATGATCTTCCTTGCCCTGGTTTTGCTATTGACAACTCTGGGAGTTGATGGATCCCTAGCCCGTCCATACGACGACGAGCTCGTAGCTGGTAGCCATCTCGGTCGAAAAGCCGATGCCGGCGGAGGTACTACTGCAAGTTTGGCCGACGAGGAAGAAGACGACACTAATCCAACGTTCGGTCACTACGGAGGCAATACCGATCCTCACGATCGAGTCCACCATGTCTACATAAATGGAGACAATCCTTATGCTCCGAAGCCGAAGAAAACACCATGATCGCAAGTCTGGATGCTTGAAACTGGTCAAAAGTTTCTGTAAATATAAATATATGTGTGTGTATGTTTTAAGAATAACAATGGATTAATTAACATGTTAGAATATCAGGCATGCATGGCACACATGTTAATTAAGTTTCCAGAAAGAAATCTTCAGTTTTAATGGATATTTGTGTTTGATATATGTTATTTGGTCGGCCGTGTAATATAAAATCCATTATTATAATATACATTTAGATTGGTAGAGAAAATATATATTTAAATGTGATAATATCGGTTAATAGATAACAGTATATTTGTTTATACATAAAAATCTTTTGAGAAAAAATCACGGGTAAAAAAATTATTTTTACTAATATATATCGAAAATAGATAATATCAAAAATAGACGAATACAATAAGAATTCTCGTGAATAATTTTTCTAACCCTAATTTCTAATATTCATTTATAGGAATAGTTATTTTATTACAAAATAAACTTTCATAACAAGAAATCTGCTAAAATTATACTTTCTACTTTCAATCAAGATAAAATATAATATATTACTTACTTTTTTATTAAACTACATTTCATAATTTTCTCAATCAATTCGAGTCATATCAAATTTGAATCAAAACCTAATAATCTTACATTGACACAAATTCTAAAAGTGTATGGAGTTCAAGATAAAATTTTAAATTCGATGAAATATCAATTTTTTTTTAAAAAATTAATTCTTCGTATCGGTTAATAAATTCAACATTTTAAGATTAAATATAGATTTTCTTTATCAATCTAATTATTTATTATAATAATTGATTTTAATTATAGTTGACTCAATCGTATTTTTTTTACTTATAATACTGAAAGAATGTGGATCTCATTCAAGTCATATCACATGCCAAGTTGCAATCAAGATTGTTAATAAATATAATTTTATGTAATTTTAGTGGAATAACCAATCATGAATGAATGACTAATTGAATTGATAAAAAAAATAACCAGCTAACTATATTGGTTAAAAAACTATCTATTTGACAAGGGTAATCGTGTTAATTAATTCTAATTTTGACTCCTTTGTAAAATTTATAAACCAATTAAACATAATAACATTATCACTTTTAATTGTCATTATTTGCTTCAAAAAGGATAAGTAAGAATGTTTAGAGTAATTTTTTTTGGATAAACAAATTGAATTTCATCCAATGAAAGCAGCAAGTTGCTACAATGTACAAAAGAACATCTAGAATAGGCCCCAGTCAATACACAACTGCATATTTAAGCTATCAAGCCTATTCATATAATGTCTATACAACTTGATTCTAACAGCCTCCTTAATGATATTTACAATAGTATCTACCGAACGCATCACACCTCTAAAACATCTGCGATTACGTTCCTCCCAAATCAAGTATACAAAACCAGTCCATGCAAGTTTAAGAATGTGCACCAGCAAGGACTTACCCTTCAGGTTACTGACCAACCAACAAAGTAAATGATCCCAACTTAGCCACTACATTCGCAACCCACAAAGTTGCAGTAAAAGATTCCAAACCTCCCTCGAGAAAGAACAGTCTATGAACAAATGGCTTCTTGATTCCAGGACAGTACCACATAGACCACAGCTTGCATCAATCAACACAGCAAATCTACACAACCTCTCCCTGGTAGATAAACGATCCAGGATGGCCATCCACGTGATCAATGAAAACTTAGGGATGTGAGCAGGAAACCAAATGACTCTATGCCAAGCAACTTTGCTTTTCCTGTCCCGAATGATGTTCCAGATCCAGTCCCCTTTAATCTGCAACCAACTACCTGAAGCAGGGAATAAGCCTCTGACTTCCTCATGCAGTTTGATCAACTTCCTGAGTATCCAGCTAAAATGAGGCTTATTGACAACATTCTAGTAATCATCAAGCTTAAAGCAGTACGCTTTTATCCAGGCAACCCATAGGGAACCCTCACCAGCCAAGATATTTCTAACAAGCATAAAACAACAGGTTTTATTCCAGCAAGTCAAACTCTTTAGCCCCAAGCCTCATTCAGATTTAATGGAGCAAATCTGGTTCCAGCTGACCCTTGCTCCACGAGCAGGGGAGTCATTACCCTTCCAAAAAAATCTCATGCACAACCTCTCTATATCATGAATCACACCCTTAGGCAAAACAAGTTGCCTACTCCAGTAATTGAAGATACTGAATAATACTGCTTTTATGAGCTGTAATCTCCCCCTAAAACTCAATTTCTTGCTTGACCATTGCCTCAATTTATCCTTAATTCTCTCCAACAGAGCAGTACAATCCTTCCTTGAGAACTTCTGAGTCACTAAAGGAACACCCAAATATCTAACAGGAAGAAGACCAATCCTACTGTAGCTGCTTGAATCTGTTCTAATTCACTACCATTTATCCCACAGACATAAAGCTCAGTTTTCAAGGCATTTAACTTGAGCCCAGATAGGTGGTAGAACTTTTCTAAAATACTAGTCACTCCCAAAACTGAATCCATAGAACCATGACAGAATATCAATAGATCATCAGCAAAACAGAGATGTGTAAGGGAGATCCTCTTACATCTTGGATGGAATCTGAAAATTCCATTCCTAGCAACAACATCAAGCAGCCTAGAGAGAACATTCATAACAATTACAAATAGGTAAGGAGACAGAGGGTCCCCTTGCCTAACACCCCTAACACCTTTAAAATACCCAACTAGGCTGCCATTCAGAGCAATTGAGTATCTAGGAGTGGTCACACAAGTCTCAATCCACCCACAGAATCTAGCAGGAAGCCTCATAGCTCTTAGAACATTCAACAGAAAATTCTAACTAATTGAATCAAATGCTTTCTGCAGATCAATTTTTATAGCACATCTAGGGGAAAGATTCCTCCTAGAATAGCCCTTGATAATTTCCTGGGCTAAAAGTGTATTATCAGTGATGCTTCTACCTTTGACAAAAGCAGACTGGCTAACAGAAATTATTTCAGGGAAAAACTGAGCTAGTCGAGTAACCAAAATCCTAGTAATAGTTTTGTACACCACAGAATAGTAAGAAATAGGCCTGAATTCCTTAGCCATACATGCATTCAAAGATTTTGGCGCTAGAACTATTGCAGTAACATTAAAGGATGGTAAAAGGTAAGAGGTCTGGAAGAAATACCTCACAGCATTTAGGAAGTCTGAGTGAACAATCTCCCAAGCCACCTTGAAGAACTAGGAGGTGAATCCATCAGGTCATGTGCTCTTATCTTTGCCTTGTCTAAACAAGGCCTCATTGACTTCATTATCATAAACCTCTCCATCCAGAACCCTCTCAGCACCAGCAGGCAGATCATAGCTTAGGAGTTCCTTTAAGCACTCAGGAGGGCAATCTTGGACCATAGGATCAATAGCACCAATTAATTTGCTGTAGAAATCCACCAATTCAGCAGCCATACCATCAAAAGATTCAAAACATTGCCCATTTTCACTCCTAATAACCCTGATTGTGTTTCTTTTTTTTTTGGATTCAACCATTTGATGAAAAAACTTAGTACTCATGTTATCCTCCTGCAACCAATGGATCTTTACTCTCTGCTTATAAAAATCAAGCTCAGCCACTTCAAGATCCACAAGGTCAACATGAATCTTCTTCTCCTCTTCCACCCCAAATTGATGAGAACCATAAAGAATTGAAAGTTGAACAAACTCCAGTTCAGCCATCTTAGCAGCAACCCTGGCAGAAATATCAGAAAAAAAGTTCCTATTTAACTCCTTTAAAACTGGCTTCAGTCTTTTCATTTTGTTGAACAGAATCTGCATTTCATTGCCATCACTGTGAGCAAGCCAAGACTCCTCAACAATGTTTAAGAAATTATCAATTGCAGTCCAGCAATTGAAAAATTTAAACGGCTTTGGCCTGTGAACTTGTGCCTCCTTTTGAGTCCAGATTAACCCAAGACAGTGGTCTGAAACTCCAGGGGCCTTGAACTCAACATACGAATCTGGAAAATCCAGAAGCCACTGAGAGTTAGTGAGAATCCTGTCCAACTTCCTGGTAAGATAGGAATCATCTTGCTTGTTAGACCATGTAAAGAGAGGTCCAACAAAAGGATGATCCTGCACCTCAAGGTCCTCTAAGTAGTCTTTGAATTCTTCCATATCAGCTGAAAAATGAGGACCCATTAAAGAATAGTCTGAGCTTTCTTGGGCATCAGCTATAACGTTGAAGTCACCACCTAACACCCAAGATGAATGGCCAATCACCCTTTCCAAATCCCTTAGATGATCCCAAAGACCCTTTTTGGACTGACTGTAATTACTTCCATAGACTGCAGTAATAACAACACTATGGCCAGAGATATCTCCCTTAATAGATAGTGCTTGATCGCATCCACCAATCACAGAGAAAGACAACCTCTTACTCCACAAAATCCAGAGTCTGCCCCCATCAACAAACTGATAGTTTGTCACAAAATTTCACTCATCAGAAAAAAATTCAGCCACCTTGGAAACATTACAACTCCTGACTCTAGTTTCCATGAAACACACAATATCCACCCCCAAGCTCTCCAGTCTCTTAAGAATCTTACCTTGCTTAGGCACACTGTTAATGCCTTTCACATTCCAAAAACAGATGATCATCTAAGCAGGAATGGGGGGATCACCAGTACCAACACCTTTCACAGTACCTCTAGCCTTCTCAACCATATCTTTCTTTTTAGATCTGATCTCATTAAGCATCACAACAACGCCCATAGAAGCTGCCTGAGGCTTCCTAGTGTCACAACATCCACCACCTGCCAATGAATCCAATTTACTAGAACAGCCCACAAGCTCCTTTTTCCTCCCTCTGACTTTCTTCTTCTGCAGAATGGATTCCTGCAAAGAAGGGAAATCACCAACATGAGGATCAATATGGTCTTCTATAGATATTCCCTTATTCCCTCCCAACAGGCCAAATTCTCCATCTATAATGTTCAAAATAACTTGATCCAGAACAGCAGTCTCAGGGATATCACCAACAGATATTTCCTTATTCCCTTCTAACAGATTAACAGCTCCATCAGTAGCATTGGGAATAACCTCCCTGACCAATTGCTCTTCCATATTTTCAGTAGCTGTCAATTTGACCACTCCATTAGCCTTCATCAACCCCTGAATAGCATCAGTCAAGGGAGTAACAATATTACTCTCTTGAAGGGCCACCACAGACAACTCTACAGTAACTCCACCCTGCAGGATATTAGCACCTGAGGACTCAAAACATGGATTGGAGCCCTTAGGATAAGAGGAAGAGCTAGCGGGGACTATTTTTTCCTTAACAATAATCCCAGAAAGATTAGGCTTCTTCCTCCAGACTTGAATTTCTTTGTTCTTGACTGATGCCTCTGCACAGACATTAAACTGATGACCAAAAGTTTTACAATGCGAGCAAAACTTAGGTTGTCAAGGCGCATGAACCATATTTCTCAGAATAGATCCATTACTCAATATAACCTGAACTGTCTCAGGAACCACATCACCAACCTCAATTTCAACACAGACCTTAGCATACTCAAGCCTTTCTTTAGATGTTGTGATGGAATCCATGTATAATGGATGCCCTACAGCACTCGCGATGTAGCTGAGACCCAGTCTAGTAAAAAGCTCTAGGGGCACGTTGTACAATTTTATCCAGATCGGTATACTCTTAAGATCAAAATCGAGCCTCTACAGATTAGGCTCCCACTTCTTTACGATGAGCGGCTTATTTTGCACATGCCACGGCCCGTTTTCAAGGATCCAATCTCTCATGTCTTTGTTAGAAAAGGAAAAGATATAAAGATTCGAGCTAGCTAAACTAACCTTCACAGTCGAGATTTTCCCCTACAAGATCTCAACAACCCTTTGCATGAAGCCAAAATTCAGAGCAGCTCCTATGAATTGCCCCACAATCGAGTGGCCCCATTCAACAATTCCCTCATCAAACACAGCAGATGGAGGTTTAATGGTGGAAATCCCCTCCAATTTCTCAGGCGGAAAGATATCCAGGGTTTGCTCCTCAGATCCCCCAAATAGCTTCCTCCAATGCAAACTCGACTCCATTAGTAACACAAACGCCACCAGAATCACCCATACAACTCTAGAATCACCAAAATAAGAGAAATCAGCAACGAAGAACTAGCCCCGAGATCTCATTAGTCCAGCTAACGTGCACCCAGAGAGAGCTCATCTCGCCTTTTTTTAATGATATAACTAATGTTTAGAGTAATTATGAGATGTTATGCGTTAGAATTTTTTATTTAGTTAATTGATAATGTATTTATCCTGTAAACGTAATTATTCGAATTCAGATTCTCTGAAAAGAATAATTTTCTTTTTCACTATTTAAATTGTTCGATAGATTTAAAATATAATCAGAACATTAAGTGTCACTAAAAAGATTTTTTATTTATAATTAAAATAGACATCGTTAAAACCTCCCTCATAACTTAATCAAGCCGAAATTCAAGACATCTGAAGAGGAAAAAAGTACCTAATTCTATTATTAAGAACCATCAAAGCACAGCAAAATTACCATTGTTGGATTCTCACTACGCATGATAAAATAACGCATACACACCCCAAAAGCAGTCCCCATAGGACACGACCCAATCACTTACGAAAACAAAGCTAGTACCTGCAGACAATCTCAATACATGATAACTTATGTAATATTTGTCACCTTTTGAGCCGCTGAAACTGAAGCATATAAATGCTTTAGTGGTAAATATTCCTTGCAAAAAGGGCTCTGACTTTTCAATATTTAGCTCCTTTAGATCAGAATGAAATCAAATTTGAGTTTGATGCTTTTGATCAGTGATTCCGGTTGATGGTTAAACTCTTCATCCAAGGTTACCGATTTGCTTAATGCCAATCTTTTCACCATCCCCATCCTCTTCAACTGCGCTAACCACCTACCCCTCGTAGTCCTTATTAGAAGCCCTGTATTAACTAATCTGTGGTATCTGCAACCACATTCATAGCACATCATGAAGAAATCTTCTTTGAACACCCAGAAAATTGCCCAACAAGTTCACCCCCTCTACTTCTAGCTTCAGCATTTAACAACCACAGCCACCTATCGAAGCATACTGCAACACACTGAAAGCTGAGTTATAAGAAAGCATTTTTCTCACTTAAAGACATCACGATTCTGCGCTGGTTTGACAAGTATCTTGACAAACATCTCTACATCTACTGAGATAAAGCAGTATACATGCTCTCCGGTTCACATCCCAGACGCCATATCCATTTATTTAGAAGGGACCTGTTTTAAGCTCTAAAATCGGAAATGCATTTTGAATCCCATTTTACCCAGTGGATTGATCTTGCGTCAGCCTTGCCTCAAATGAATTTTGCTGTCAGTTTGTTAAGGTAATAGATGCTGGCATCTGAAATAGATGCCGGGAGATTACACATAACTGATTTTATTAGACTCAATCTTCCACCATACGATAATATCTTACCTTTTCAGCTAGCAACACTTCTCTAAAATTTTCGATGATAGGTTTCCAAATAGTGGTGGAATTACGAGCCGCACCAAGAAAAAGGCCGAGGAAATCGAAGGGAAAAGAACCAATTGACATTTAATCAAATTTGTCAATGTATTGATCGAGAATTTGCCTGAAAATGGTCCGATTATCAAAACCTTTTAAAGCATAAGAAATGAGACATTTCCTTGAAGGAGCTAATCTATCACATGAATATAGAAGAGACAAACTGCCTCAAAGATAAGGATTCTGTCTTCAAAATTAAATTTTCCTTCAATGATAATTTGTTGTAATCTTCTGACCTTAAAAATTAACAGGTTTAGGGACTTTATATCAATCTTAAGAAGAATGATAATTCTCCTAAAAAAAAGTCAACCAACTTCAAGAAACCAAGAGTGAACCAGAAATCCGACAAGTTGGTGAGTTATTACGTATGTGGTAAGCCACGACATAAAGTCTATTAGTGTTTCGTTGTTATGATCGTCACAAGAACCAAAACCAAAATAAAAACAAACCACAAATAAATTTGGTGGAGAATCCAAATGGAATGATTGTTGCCGTGGATTTTAGAAGTCAACATAGTGGATATATAAAATACAAAAAATTAATTATTAATAAAGAGATATAAATTATATGAGAATTTAAAATATTTTAGAAATAATGACAACTTCATCCGTTCTCTCCATCTATCCGAGTACAACAATAACAATAAACAAAATTCTCTCGATCTATCCGAGTTCAACAATAACAATAAACAAACTAGAAAAGAAAGATGAGGATAAATTCCATAATCTGAGCAATTAATTTCTAATTATCATGCAGCAAAATCAACACCCAAAATCTTAAGCAAACCATCGAAAGAAACACCTTCATTTTCATTATTGTCGTCGTCACTGTCGCAAAATCTGATCACAGCCTTGATATCTTCGTCTTCAGCAGATAAGTCAGCCCATCTCATATAATTTTTCAAATCCTCATAGCTCAATCTCCCATCTCCATCTTTGTCCATAACCTTAAAAGCATCGCCCATTACCTCCGCCGCCGCCGTTTGTTTCGACTCCAACAACCCCAAAAGTCTCTCGAACTCATCGTATTCCACGAACCCGTCGCTGTTGGAATCCGCCAACGAAATCATTGCTCTGATTATTTCGTCTTCGTCGTGAAAAGTAGCGTTGGGAAAGTAAAACGCAGCTTCGAAGAATCTCTTCAAATCTTCTTTACTAATCTTCCCATCACCATCTCCGTCGAGAACCTCGAATGCAGACCTGAAAGCCAACGTGGAACCAATCTTCTCCGAACGAATTATGTTGGGCGTACTCATGGTTTGTTTGAACAGACGGAGAAGGAGAATTACGAAGTTTGGTTTGAGTTAGGTTCAGGCAACCAACACTTCTGGTTAAAACGTACATTTAATAAACATAGGGTGAATTATCAAAATGGTCACTTTTATTTCATATGTGTTCACTTTTGAGTAACAAATTTAAACGAAATAACATTTTGATCACTTATGTTATTGATATATAATTTTGATCACTTACATTATCGATTTATATCAAATTTGTGACCAAGATGTTAAATGCAATTAGTTTGATGGTATAACATGTTAGTAAAAAGATTAAATTTTAATTTGACATCTAAATTTTAGATAATATACTAATTTAACCTCTAAATGTTAGATAAGATACTAATTTTACCATTGAGCTTTAGCTAAAATATCAAAGGAATCCGATCAAAGTCCCCACTCTGCCGACTGCCACTCATCATCATCAATCACTGTCTGCAATTGTTGCCAATAACCATTAAACCCTAAAATTTCCAATCCACTCATTTTATGACTTCTAAACACAAAATTATTGTTGTTTCATCAAAAAAAATATCTTGAACTCCATAAATCTATTATAGAACATTGTCTTATTTTAGAATTAAATCCTAATAATAAATTAATCGGCAATAATCTTTTAAAATTAAGAAGATTATAATCTATATCATAATCAAATTCATAATTTTTTTTAGTGATGTAATATGTTCATTTGATGAAATGTACCGTAATCATAAGAATGAATGAAAAAAATTCTAACAATTACATTTGAAAGGTTACATTGCATTAGTTGAGAATATTATATAAACATTAATATATATTATTTAATTTTAAAATATTTTATCATAATTAATTAATTAATTAATTATATACTTACTTTTTCTACAATAAAAATGTTCAGTAAATATGATAGCTTTAAGTAACTACTTTGATAAAAATATATACTTTAGGAATTTAAAATAAACATATTTTTATATTTTCTAATAATAAATTCTATAAAAAAATATTAATTTAATGGTTGATTGTATCTATGGTGCACAAAAATACTATGGTTTATATAATTTTAATTTATTAACATATTTAAATTTACATAAATATATTAATTATTTAAAAAAACACTACATCTAAACTCGCATATATATGCAGACTATGTTGTTTGAACCCCAGTCATCTACAAAGAATAGTACTCTCTTTAGCTATTGAGATCACTCCAAAACTTAGTCATCGAAAAAGCATACACCATGCAGACTTAGCTACTCGAGCCCAAGACCTCTAGGGAGAACACCACTCCTTTTTACCACCAAGGTCACTTGATGTGTTTAAAATTTTTCTTAGTCATTAAAAATGCACACACCTGCAGATGTTGATGCTTAAACCAAAGACCCTCTACAAAGAACAATATTTTCTTTAACCACTTAGGTTATTCAACGAGTGAAATAATTTTTTATTTTTTATTTTTTTATTAAAATACGTACTCATAACATAAAATCAAAATCAGGATAAAATTTTAGGGTAGTTATTGATAGAATAAGATGAAATACATTTAAGAATCAGATGCTTCACACAATCGATGCCTTATGTTCCCATTTGGAATCACTTTCTACTTGCCCAATTGAGTGACAAATAATGGAGAACCCAAAGTGGCTTGTGGTAGAGAAATAGCCTTTTATTCTACGATCAGTTAGCATTTTAAGCAATTATTTCAACTATCAATGGAGTATATTTGGCGGGTTAGTCTGTTTATTTTTATTCCATTATATTTTCTTAGATATGAGTATTAAATTAATAAAGAGTACTCCTTTTCTTTCCCGTAGAGTTTCCTTTTCTTCATTTCCTCTAGATACAATTATGATTAAATTTAATGTTTATTAAAATATATGGAAATTTAAGAATATAAAATTAAAATATATAAAATATTAAAACTATATAACAAATTCAGATTTTGAAAGATATGATGTATTCCAATATTTATGTTGATCCATTCCTAATTTGAGTTTTATACGTTTATGTACTTTATCAAGTTAAACAAATAAACATGAACAAGACGTTGAAGCTAAATACTAGAACAAAAACTAGGCATGTTCAATCCACTTATATTTGTCAATAATTTTATTTAAAATCCATTTAAAACTTATTTATTGTTTGATTTTTATATAATTAACAATATTATTTTTATGTTTTAATTTATATTATTTAATTATACATAAATACTAATATATATATTTAGTTATTTTATATTTAAAAATGTTAAAATTTTATTATTAGTCTATGTATTGTCCAAATCACTTAATTACGGGAAGCATTCTCAATGTGACCCTATGTTCACAAGTTAAATATAGTAAATGAATTAATGATAAAATTTGACCTAAAAATTATCGGATATTATTTAAAATGTGATTATAATTTTAAAATTCAAAAAGTAAGAAAAAGCAAAAAAGAAATCAAATTAGAGCATCATAGAGATTAAATCTACAACTCATTCATATTGCATGAAGTAATAGCCGATTTTGATCGAAATTTAAAAATAAAAGGGTAAAGTACATAAAGGGCCCCATACTATAGAGTATTATTTTATTGAGTCTTTCGACTATTAAAAGTTATAAGATGATTCCGAATATAGGGCGCTGCTTTGTTGAGTCCCCAACTATCAAAAGATACAAAATGGTCATACAACTATTTATTTGTTCCAAACTCGTCTTTTTTCATTAAAAAATTGGTGGTCGTCTAAGTTGGACGTTAATATGTTGACTGGAACATGATAAAATCTGATCCTAGAACCGTTTGAGTTGTATTTTATGGATATACTCTCCATTTACATTATGTCATCGAGTCAGTGCTTGAAACATTATGACGTCGAACCAATACTTGAAAGTAATGCCGCCGCCAATAGACATCATTGAAATATGATTTTATTATATCTCAACCACCAATTAATATTCAACTCAAGCGGCCGTTAATTTTTTAATAATAAAGGACGAGGTTTAAACATATGAATAGTCAAGTGATCATTTTATAACTTTTAATAGTTGAAGAACTCGATAAAATAGCGCCATAAAATTAGAAGACCATTTTATAACTTTTGATAGTTGAGGGACTTAACAAAGTATATCCTAGAGCCGGGAGACCATTTGTATACTTCACCCAATAAAAAGGGTGATTTTAAATGGACTTGAAAAGAAGGTTTGGGCCATTTATACTCTCTCCAAAACGCCTAATGGTTGAATGGGTTATATTCTTTTCTGTTTTCATCTACCATATTCATCACTACAGATTCTTTTGTGTTCAATTCCAGAAGGCGCCTCTTGATGGGATCCCTTTAATCTGATAGTTTAAAGGGAATTCGGCCCATCTCCAAAGAGAGGCGTATATTATTTGCAGGGAAATTGAGTCGCTTCGCCTTTGATCTGTATTTCCCAGGCGCAGTGAATAACGTCCTGCAAAATTCCTTTCTTCTTCCTCTTCTTTCCTGCAAATCGAGACCATGAAATCTGCAATCTGTTTGATATTGGTTTGCTTTTGTTTCTTCTTCTTCTTCTTCTTAATGAAAAACTATGATTTTTTGGACGCAATTTAACCTTTTTAAAATAAAAGATTGCAAGCTCGGTAGATTGCTTAATTTCTGACCTGAAATCGGGAATTCGATTACATATATTTATATCCGAATTAATTTAAATTTGATTAGATTATGTTAAAAAAGAAATACTTAAACTTATTTTATTTTTTATTTTTTACCTTTCGGTTTCAAGATTTTGTCTAAATTAATCTTGACCGACCTACATCGACACCTTGATTAATCCTGCTTGAGCCATATTAAATTGTTTTAACTAATCATGTTAATTGATTTTATCATAAGAAATCGACCAGTTAGATTAGAATGGGCTTCACGTGAGGTCATAAGATTACATTATGATTAACAATAGGGTAAGTTACATGAATTTTCGTATAGTTATATTTTATTTATAAAATTCATATATTATTAATTTGACAGTTATGTTTATTAAATTGAAATAAAATAAAATATGTGAGTAATAAATCAAATATATAATTATATTGATTTTTTTAACTTATACACCACGACATCTTATATATTCATTGAAATTATTTAAATAATTAAATCCTTTGATTATAACAATTTATACCTCAATAGTTTATTAAAATATCTAATAATTAAGTGGGCATTTATATAATTTAATCTTAATAATATAATCCACTTCCCTCAAAATCATCATTTCATCGTTTGGGTGGTCATTTGAAAAGAAACATTTGATGATAAAAGCTAAATTTGAATATAAAATGTTGTCACGTGTCACTAATAGAATGAATATAAATAAATTAAATTAATAATCACTGTTGGTGGGATTTGAACCCAAGACACGAGGAGAGGAAGAAAACACCCAAATCACATGGTTACACCATTCAATTGAGAAATTTATCACGACATAATAGATATATAGTTAATAACAATAAAAAAATGGCATAATAAGAACTCGAATATAAAATAATTGAATAATACGATAATATATACACACACAAATATTATAATTGATTAATATGTGAATGTATTATATTTATATTTTAAATATTTTAATGAAAAAATAAAAATAAAAATAATTTTAATATATTATAATTGAAATATAACAAAGAGTTTCTTTGACTTATAATTTTCCTGATAGTTGAAGGCTTATTATAGTAAGTATTTTAACTTATGCATTGACTTGTTTATATCCCACTTAGAGTATAAATTTTATATTTTATTATTTATTCATTATATATTTGAAGAAATTTTTAGGGGAAACTTGATTTTATTTAATTAGTCTATTTTAATACAAAGTTGTTAAATAAGAATAGAATTCGGTCGATGTTATAATATTTTAAAATATAAGATACAATACATTTCAATTCAATTAAATTAGAATAATGTAGACAAATTATTAATTTAATATATGTAAAATGATACATTTCAATTATAACATATTAAATTCACTTTTATTTTAATTTTTGCATTAAATGTGATTTAACATGTAAATAAAATATATTCACTTAGTAATCAATTATAATATTTTGTTTTTATATATTTTATATTTTCATACTATTCAATTATTTCATGTTTGAATCCTTATAAGGTTATTTATTACCATTAACTATGTTATAAATTATATAGATTGTGTTCTGTATACTCGACAAATTTAGTGGTATAGCTTAGTGGTTATGATGCTCAATTTTTCGGCTTGCGTCTCAGGTTTATACTCCACCAGTAGTGGTTATTTGATTTAATTTATTTTTCATTTATTTAATTGGTGACACGTGGCACCACTTGATTGGATGAAAAACTTTATTAAATAAAAAATATTAAACAACATCCAATCACACAGTGACATATGTCACCATCGGATTAAATTTATTGAATTAAATAAAAGTTATGACTAAATTAATAGAATGTGAAGTAATGATGACTAAATGTATAATTACACAAATTTTATTAACGGTCAGTCATCTCCTCCATTAATATTTACGGCGGGTGGCTTGATTGACAAGATTTAAACAGTTAGGTGACCCAGTTGACAAAATTGAAAAATCGGTCGTTAAAGTAAAATGGATAAATAGTTAGGTGGTCAATGATATAGTTCACCCTAAAAAATAATGTTTTATAAAAATTATATTTTAATTAAATTACATTTAGATTTTTAATTAATTTATAATTATACATTTAATACTTTATAATTTTACGTTTTATAAATTAATTTAATGTACTCATCATTAACCATGCTCATTCGTACTCGTCAAACTTGACAACATCATCTTTAATTTAATATTTTAATTAACACTAATCATTATTATACATATGAAATTGTTAATAATACTAAGATAATAATTTATTATATTAATATGATAATTCAAGATATTAATATGATATTTATAATGTTTACGCGGTTGTCTATATATGAATAATGTTGTAGTAGAAAAATAAAACTGACTATTTTATAAAGTTCAAAGTTTTAATTGATTTTTTCATTATCATAAAGTGACTCATCAACATAATAACAATCAACATTAATTAAAAGATTAAATTCATGCAATTCATGGTTATTGTATGATATCAGGTAATTAGTTTATTGTGTCGATGGATATAAAAAAATATCTCAATTATGTATTTAATTTACGTTTATAGTTGTAAATATTTATTATAATTTTAAATATTTTATCTTTTAATAAAACTAGTAGATTCTAATTGTATCAAATTCATATAATTTAGAAGTTTGAACACTAAATTACATAAATAGATTAAATTGATTATTTAATATGAATTAAAGAAAAAAGTAGATCTATAAACGAACCGAATGTTTAGTGAAGCATTCGTGAATCATTCGATGAGAATTTTGTTTATTTATTGAATGAGCGAACATGAACAAGATTTTATGTTCGTTTAATTAAATTATTGAACATGAACAAATGACTCATTCATTCATTTACGTTCGCGAACATTTAGTAATTCGTTCATTTATATCCCTTAGTTTATAGTCAGACCAATCTCAATCTCTAGACTTATTCAAAATATTAAGACCTAATAAATTTTAACATTGAACCTATTAATATTTTAAAACTTAAATGATTTTAAACCCAAATAAAAAATACCCAAATAAATAAAAGGAAATATAAATGCTAAAATTATTTGAAAAAAACTCTTCTCCAATATATAATTCTTATTAATTTTATGTCATTCAGTTTATGTTTGCTCGTTTGTGTTTGTTGATCATTTTAAATAATGAAGAAGAACAAGAAATTTTGTTCATTTAGTTATTCGTGTTCATTCGTTTGTTTGGTTAAAATTCATTCGTTTATTTGGTTAAAGTTAAACGAAGTAACATGAACATCTCGTCGTGTCGTTTACATGCTTAGAAAAAAGTATCCGACAGTGATGTTAACTTAGCAAATCCTATCCGGCGTAAGAATCAAAAGCCATCAAAAGAAGAGGGAAATCACATGAAAAACAAACAGAGGACAACTGAATATAACATCATCGTGATCGTCATTTGAATCGGAAGCCGTTGGTTTCCCATAAACAGGGGCACGCGCCATAAACATCTGTTGGCTGTTGCCGTCGTCTTCATTTTCATATAAGAGGTAGTATCATACACGCAATATAAGTGCTGTATATATATATATTTGAGACGGGTACAGCTATACAATAAAATTTAAAATTTTAGAACATGAATAAAATAAAATAAAGTAGGCGATAACAGCAGTAAACGAATTATTTATTCTGATTTAGATGAAAATTCAAGTACAATTAAATAATGATATAAAAAAATTTCTGTGTTTTGTTTAGGAGTTACATATTATATTTATTGTTGATGTGAAGTGTACAACTATAATGGTTATTTGTAAGTTATCAAAGCTTTTTTCCCAGAATTTTTAGATCTGTTAAGAACTTATCAGAAAATAAAATGCTGATTTGCGAAATAATTTCTCTAGACTTCATTCTTCGATTTCGACAGATCAAAACGACAACAGGGGCAGCGTTTCTTCTTCTTCAGCCAGGTAACAATGCAGAGTTCATGAAAAGCATGCGAGCAAGGCACGCAGGCCGCTTCGCCACCCACCACTAATTCTTCCAAACAAATCGGACACTCCTTCCCAGCCGCATCCACCACCTTCTTCCCCACACTCCCCGACACCTCTTCATCCGTCATCGCCACCACTTCGTCGTCACTGTCATTGATATCCACATCACCACTACCGAAGTCAGGAACTTCTTCTACCACAGCCTCAATCGCCACTTGCATTCTCAAAACCTTTCCGTCTCTATCCCTAGCGTCCGCCGCCAAACGAGCAGCGGTGGCCGCTATTTCTTCCACCATCGAAGGTTGAACCGGGACGCACATGGAGTTAAGCATGTCTAAGACGGCCGCGTTTCCGTCGTTAATCAAGTCATCAAGAGGAAACTCGTGGGTCACTTGAGAAATAATCCTCCCAGATTCGATAAACTGTTCGTCTCCGGCTCTGGGATTCCTCTCGACGATGATAAACGTCGCCTGAACCTCGATGTCGAACACAGAAGAAAGAAGAAGAAGGGGACAAATATTTGTTTAGTGAGGCTTCCATGTCGATTTCGGACATGTTATATAAGGTGATAAAGAATCAAATCCTCCGCCATTATTTATTAGAGAAGAAAAATGCAGGGAAGAACACGTAGTAAACACTGAGAAAGGGTAATCTGGAGATTTTATGAGTTTACTATAAGGAAACGACTAGGCAGGGAATCAGCCATTGTTTTTTATGGTTCTTTACGCGGTTTGCTCACGGCTTGCTGTCGGCCATTTGAAGATACAACCCATTCATTTGGGCTAAACCGGTCCAAACCCATTTCAATTACTTAAATTTTTAATGATGAACTAATATATATAATTGATGATACTGGAAGAGTGTTGTTAATATATGTACTTGATGACACCGGTCTAAATGTTTAGCTATCATTGTACTCTTCGAGGACTTTTTCCAAACAAGTTTGGCTATCATTCATTCCTACTTTTATCATTGCAGTTCCACGGTAAAAATGTGATTATTCGTTTATGTTACCATTTTGGTCTATGTAACTTGATTAAAGTATAGTGAGTATATATTTAATTTAAAAAACATTTATGTATTTAGGGTTAATAAACTTTTACAAGTGAATTATATTACATTTGTCCTCATTTTATGATTCTTATTTTAAACTAGAGTCTGAATTTTTTTATATTTTAATTTCATCCTCAAGCTATGATTTTCATTCTAAATTAGTCTTTAAACTTTTGAAGATTTTAATTTCATCCCAAACTATTCGTATATGCTAATCACACCCATTGTTAATAATTCCGTTAGACCAATCTATAATATTATATGTTTGAACAAATATAGATTAACCTATGGTTGAAACTAATTAATATTTGGATGAATTTGGGGATAAAATTGGAAGATTCAAAAGTTTTGCGGGCTAATAAAAATAATAATTTCAGGAAATATGATGTTACTAACTCAAATTTTAAATATAATTAAATTTATGATTTTTAAAATATTAAAAAAAGAAAAATAAATGGTAAGCCTAAAAGCTTAAAGAACAGCAAAATTTTACGTTATAATCTCTAATAATCACCACTCTTTTCGAGGTCCCTCATGCATCCTTCTTCACCTTTATCTCTTCCAAGCTTCCCGACAAAATCTATGGATTTCATGACTTTCCTGAATTAAAGAGGATTTGCAAGTTCCATGTTTTTTTATCATTTTTCTCATTTCTTTCTTTCAATTTTTCTCTCGAACATGAAATCCATCTCCAATTCCTTTTTTTTCGCTATCTGTTGTTGTTCTTTCACTATGAACACATTTCATGTTCTTGCAGAAAATGGCCCCGAATCGGAACCCGTGGCTTATGTCCTTTCTTGCGGCGGCGAAGATGGTACCGATTCCGACGGCCGAAAATGGATTCCCGACCGAACGTTTCTATCTTCATCCGATAAGAAAGATGATACAGAGACCTCAACGGCTCAATTCCAGGACCCTTCTTTGCCATCAACGTTTCCATACATGAATGCTAGGATTTTCCGATCATCGTCGACGTCGTACAAGTTCCCAATTTTTACGAATAGTCGTCTATGGCTTCGGCTCCATTTTTACCCCACCACTTACAGCAATCTAGACCCTTTCAGCTCCTATTTCTCCGTTTTCGCCAACGGGGTCACGCTTCTGAATAACTTCAGCGCAGCCTTGACCGCGAAGGCTTTCACGCAGGCTTATATATTAAGGGAATTCTCTTTGATGCCGATCGAATCAGGCGATCTCAATGTTACGATCACCCCCGGTAAGGAGTCCTATGGTTTCATCAATGGCATTGAAGTGATACCTATGCCTGATATATTCAACCAGCCTGCTATACTTGTTGGATACAGTGGTGAAACTCTAGATCTCCATAGCTCGAATCTGCAAACGATGTTTCGGTTAAACGTAGGCGGACAGTTCATGGCACCGAACAATGATTCCGGCCTTACTCGAGCGTGGTACGATGATGCACCGTATTTGTTCGGTTCCGCAATCGGCGTCACATCTCAGGTCGATAAAAATGTTAAGATCCAATATACAGAGGAAGTAAAGGAATACATTGCGCCGGCCGATGTGTACAGTACGGCACGGTCGATGGGACCGGATTCGAAAGTTAATCAGAAATATAACCTTACTTGGATCTTTCAGGTTGATGCAGATTTCACATATGTTGTTAGGTTACATTTTTGTGAGTTTCTGCTTACCAGAATCAATGAAAGAGTGTTTGATATTTTTATTAACAATCAAACAGCACAACTTGGGGCTGATGTAATTGCATGGGCTGGCTCTCGGGGCATACCGGTTTATAAAGATTATGCAACCTATGTTCAAAATGGGACTAATGAGATATGGGTGGCATTGCATCCGGACGAACGTTCGAGGCCGGAGCGTTACGATTCAATCCTTAACGGATTGGAGATTTTCAAAGTTAACAACACGAACGAAAATTTGGCCGGTCCGAATCCAGTGCCGTCGGAAATGCTTACTAATGCCGAAGCAGCGTATAAACAGTTCGCAACATCGGAAACTAAAGTTGGAAAATTGATTGGTGGGGTTGCTGGAGGGGTTGCGAGTTGTGCTTTAGTGGTTGCATTGGTTGTTTTTGTTAAGAAAAAGAAGCATGATGTTGGTCCTGGTAAAACCGTCAATTCGTTTCCTGTTTACGGAAGTTCCCGTCAATCGGGAACAACCGGTAAACCAAGCACCGGCAGCCACCTTATGAATATTGCCGCTGGTCTCTGCAGGCATTTCTCCTTATCGGATATAAAAAATGGAACCGAGAACTTCAGTGAATCACATGTTATCGGTGTTGGAGGATTCGGTAAGGTTTATAAGGGTACTATAGATGGAGGGACTAAAGTTGCTATTAAAAGATCAAATCCTTCTTCCGATCAAGGAGTTCACGAATTCCAGACCGAAATCGAGATGCTCTCGAAGCTCAGGCACCGGCATTTAGTCTCTTTGATCGGATTTTGCGAGGAAGACGGGGAGATGATCTTGGTCTATGATTATATGGCTAATGGGACCTTAAGGGAACATTTGTACCAAACTAATAAGCCCCCCTTGTCTTGGAAGCAAAGATTGGAAATATGCATTGGAGCTGCTAGAGGACTTCATTATCTTCACACTGGCGCAAGGCATACGATCATACACAGAGATGTTAAGACTACAAACATTTTATTAGATGAGAATTGGGTCGCGAAAGTTTCCGATTTTGGACTATCGAAAACCGGTTCGAATCTTGACCAAACTCACGTCAGTACAATGGTGAAAGGTAGCTTTGGTTACTTGGACCCTGAATACTTTCGTAGACAACAACTGACCGAAAAATCCGACGTCTACTCCTTCGGGGTAGTCCTGTTCGAGGTGTTGTGCGCAAGGCCGGTATTGGATTCAAGCTTGGCGAAAGAACAAGTTAGTCTCGCCGATTACGCTCAGCATTGCCAAAAGAAAGGAACACTCCATCAAATCATCGATCCACATCTCAAGGGAAAGATTAACCCGGAGTGCCTTAAGATATACACCGAGGTAGCTGGAAAGTGTTTATTGGATGAGGGGATCGATCGACCTTCGATCGGCGACGTGCTTTGGAACCTCGAGTTCTGCCTTCAACTGCAAGAAAATCCGGAAGGAGTTGAAGTGGCCGAAGATAAGGCTAATAATGCTTATGATACACACACGGCAACGATCTCCGTCGAAGAAGAGATAGCTAACAAAGAAGCCAATTCAACACAATCAAATCCTTTCTCAATGTTGGTGGATCTCAAAGGAAGATGATACATATGCTACTTCGACCCGACCATGAGTTCCATATGTTTGAACAATCATATCCGTATCCATGCAAAAATATCTCGGATGCGGATATAAGTGTTACATATGAATACTTTAAGAAAAATGAAATAGTCATAGCAACGTGGCTACGGATTATTTATTCGAACACCTGAAATTTTTGTCAATCCTTTTATAAGAAAGCTATTTGATCAAACTCTATTAGGCTCTTGGAATCAGTGATTGAATTTTCTCCTTATACAAACATGTTCCTTTTTAAAAAATGTACATTGAATACTAAAACATGTAACCCTAGAAATGTATTTTTTTATTGTTTAATTCTGGTTTAGCCCCTATATTATGTTAAAATTTGATATTAAATCTTTGGGTAAACTACATAGATAATCATCCAATTATATGTTTGTTTATATTTTGATCATCCAACTTCCAAAACTTTAAATTTAATCACTGATGTAAGGATGAACGTGAAAAGAACGCCAAGAAATCGGAGAACTGGCAATTTTATTTTTCTCATTGAAGCTTGATAATCATTGAATATTGAATTTTCGTGAACTACGAGTGATTTAATTTACTTAATAAGCATATCAAACATTCTAGTTATTCTGGAGAGTTAAATAGTAGTTTTACCTTTTTTAACTAAAGAGATTTTAATTTTTAGAAGGGGTGGGGGTGGAGGTCAATGAGGAATTTAACCATTTTATTTATTTAAATTTTATAACTTTAAGGACTGAATTTTAGTTAGGAAACCTCGTAAGTTATTCACATCCACTCATAACATTTAATCATATTTAAGATTTTAAGGGCTATTACAAGCCTTTGCACATTGTACAATAAATTAGTATGATTGATGTTTGATGTCTCAAAATTTTTTTCATAGTGATATTTCCCGCCAATGTTTGTTGTAACTAACACATATATATTCTAATCAATGTACCTCACATTTGAAATGTGTTGTATTATATATACTATAATCAAATTTTGGACGTTCATGGGCCTTGCACCTCTATATATTGGCAAGGGGAATTAAACCTACATATACTAACACAGTTTGCTAACCATGAAAACTATAACAGCTTCCTATTCCTTCTTTTCATCTTCTCAATCACACGATCATCTTTTGTGTTTGGAGTGGCCATCAACGCTGAAAGTCACGATCCTGGTTCGACAGTGATGGCGATGAGGTCCGTGAAGGCGTCCAATACTATGTAGTGTCGGCGATATGGGGCCCCGGTGGTGGAGGGCTCGGCATAGGCAAGTCTGGGAAACACAACTGCACAGTTGTTCAGAGTCAATCCGATCTCGACTACGGTCGTCCAGTGTTGTTTACTAACCCGAACTCCAGCGACGGCGTCACCCACGAGAACTCCTACATATACATAGAGTTCGTTCCCCCAGACACAATCCATGCTTGACATCGATGGTGTGGACGCTCGCCAACCTCGAAGTTGATACCGCAAGAGGTGGATGGGACTGGGCGGGGATAAAATATACCCTTTTTGCTCCGCTGCACGGAATTGGTTTCAAATAGAGAAGTCCAGCATGGATCGTATTTACATTTTTAAGTACTGTTTTCGAGTATGTGGCGTATACCGAGTTCCATGCCGCGTATTTGGTAGAGAAGTAGAGGCCGATGGACAAATGCGTTTGGTTTTCACCTATGACCCTGGATATCAGTTCATATTTGTCAAAGCTGGAAATGCAACCAAGGGGATTCGGAAAGTTCTTAATGCTTGATTCAAAACCAATCATTATGCATCAACTACTCACTATAATATTAGTTTTAAGTGAATGAAAGTTGAGCCCATGCTTAATTATGAGATACCTTATCCTTAAACATGCCTTGTTTCAGGAAGCAACATGCTGTTGAGAGTTACTGCATTGCATATGTATGCAGCAGTCCCAGACGTGCTTCCATGCATGCTCATACATTATATAGTTGAGATGGTTCTAGAATTAATAAGAGTCTAGAAACTAGTTGGTTATAACTGAATATTGTTAAGCAGTTTTTAAAGCTTTGTAAAGCTGTTATATAAGCTGGAAGAACGTGGGGCTTGTAATAAGCTTTTGTAATCATCTTTGTTAATTGAATAAAGAAAGTGTACAAATTCTTGAAGGTTTCTCTGGTATATTCAACATGGCAGCATTCTCATATGGTATCATTCGCTAAAGATCTTGGCATCTTTGTTTTCTTTCACTACTGCGCCGTTGATAGTCGATCTCCAGTTTCGTTGATGTTGTTCCGTTTCTTTTATTGATTGTTGTTTTTTTTCTCAGTCGATTGTTTTTCCTTCATCCGTTGCTGCTATTTTCGTTTGTTATAGATCTAAATCAGTTCAACTATTGTTGCTTTCTCCATCGGATTGTCACTTTCCTCTGCTGCCTGCACCAATTTTCTGCAACCCATTTTATTTTCATAGTAATCCCAATTCTCTTCGTCAACAGTTTATCCACTGAATCAACCTTCTGTTTTGAACCAATGGTGACAAACACCACTTTGGACAGAGTCTGCCCTTCCCAGGGATCCCATAACTATGTCGAAATCGAAAACCCTACTCGTTTTTTCGTCGACGAGCACAACAAGAAAAAAAATACGATGGTCGAGTTCGTGCGAGTTGTGAAAGCAAGCAAGCAAGTGGTGGCTGGGACGCTTCACCATTTGAAGGTGGAAGCTATCAATCCCGAAAGATGTCCATATATTGTAAGTTGTGTCCACAAACGATCATGTAGTTCATGGTGCTACAAGCATGCCGTGAAGACTATACAATAGAGATCCAATTCGCTGCTGCCTTACGAACTTATAGAATTCGTTCATGCCAACGTCGAAGTATCAGAAGATTTCGCGAAACTAAACATGCCTCTTAAGTTGAAGAGAGGAGACAAGGAAGATAAGAATAAAGAAATGAAGGTGAACAAGAATAACGGAAGGAAACGTCGCACTTCTGATTCAAGTGAACGGAAGGAAGCATCGGCACTTCCGATTCAAACTGAACGGAAGGAAGCATCGACACTTTCGATTTAAGTCGAACGGAAGGAGACGTCGCACTTTCGATTCAAGTGTTCATTTTTTTCTTCATTAAGAAGGGTTGAGAAAACATGGAGAATGTTGAGAGTTACTACACTGCATATGTATGCAGCAGTCCCAGACGTGCTTGTTGGAAATAAAACACTCACACAAACAACTTTTATTGAAACTCAAACAAATATTACAAGAGCACTCTCACTCAAAAACATGAACTACAACTCACTCTTATAAGACTTTGCTTCTTCACTCACTTAGAAGCTCTTAATTTTCTTGATGCTTAAAACTAAAATGGGGAGGGGTATTTATACTACTCAAGAACAATCCTACACCACACAAATAAACTAATTTAAACCATTAAAGTCTACAAATACCTAACTCTCACCTAACTAAATTGATGTAAGCAATGACATCATTACTTAAATGATGTAAGCAATGACATCTTTACTTAAATGATGTAAGCAATGACATCAATTTAGTTTGGGTTTGGGGTTTAGGCTCCCATAATGGATCAAGTTTATGATCCAACACCCCCCTTAAACTTGATCTCGTGACCCCTAGTAGGTTCTGTAATCTTATGAAGTCTTCACTTTTCAGTGGCATGGTAAAAATATCGGCAACTTGATCTTGTGACTTCACATATTCAACTTCCACATCGTTTCTTGCAACACACTCCCTTATATAGTGGTAGCGAATGTCGATGTGCTTGCTTCGATCATGGAATACTGGATTCTTTGATAAGGCAATGGTTGATTTGTTGTCGACACAAACCTTGGTAGGCTCTTCTTGTATCAAACCTATCTCCTTCAATAGATTTCTAAGCCAAATTGCATGACAAACACATGAGGTAGCAGCAACATATTCCGCTTCACAAGTGGACAATGTGACAATCGGTTGTTTCTTTGTCATCCATGTGAACGCAATATCTTCCATGAAAAATACGAATCCAGTAGTGTTTCTTCTATTATCTATGTCTCCACCCCAATCATTGTCGCTATATCCAACAAGCTTGTAATAATTAGAAACTGAATAGAATAAGCCAAAGTCAATTGTACCTTTCAGATAGCGAAGAATTCTCTTTGCGGCTTTAAAATGGGTGGTTGTTGGAGATTCCATGTAGCGACTAACCAATCCAACTGCATGAAGAATATCGGGTCTCGTGCAAGTTAGATAGCGTAGACTTCCTATCAAACTTTTGAAGAATATTGGATCTACACTTTTGCCTTCTTCATGTTTGGTCATCTTGATCCCGTATTCTGCCGGTGTGCTTATTGGCTTACAGTTCTCCATCTTGAACTTCTTCAGTATCTCTTTTGCATAGCTTTCCTATGAAATGAAAATTCCATCCTTTTGTTGCTTAACTTCAATACCAAGGTAATACGCCATGAGCCCCATGTCTGTCATCTCGAATTCTTTCATCATCACATCCTTGAATTCATTAAACATGCTTGGGTTACTTCCAGTGAAGATCAAATCGTCCACGTAGAGGCACACGATCAAAATATCTCCATCTTTGATCTTGATATATAGAGCATACTCGTAGGGAAATTTGTTGAAGCCATTCTCTTGGAAGTACTTGTCGATTCGGCTATTCCATGCCCTTGGTGCTTGTTTTAGCCCATAAAGAGCCTTCTTCAACACCAACACCTTGTCTTGGTGCCCTTTGACTTCATAGCCTGATGGTTGCTGAATGTAAACTTCCTCTTCAAGAACTCCATTTAGGAAGGCAGACTTTACATCCATCTATTGTATCTTCCACTTGTTTTGAGCTGCCAAAGAAATGATTAGTCTGATAGTCTCCAATCGAGCAACAGGAGCAAATACCTCATCATAGTCAATTCCAGCCTTTTGACTATAGCCTTTAGTAACTAGCCTCGCCTTGTGCCTTTCAATCTCTCCTTTGGCATTTTTCTTTGTTTTGTACAGCCATTTGACATCTATCGCCTTATGTCCCTTGGGAAGTGAGGTA